TGGTTTCCCAAACACTTTCTCTTCCCCTGATGAATCCTCAACCCATGGTATGACGTTACTTTCCTCCATCCGCAGGCACATATCTGAAGTGTGCGGTGCCCTGCTGCAGATGTAGATACGACAATTCCTGTGGTGCTCTCCTGGTCTGCGCTTTTTCCATTCGTAGTCGATTCCGGTCCAGGGTCTGTTACCATAGTGTCAGCCGATGAGTCTTCTTGCGCCCTCGCTCTCGCAGACTCTGAGGGTATTTTCTTCTGTTGTGTTTTCGTAGCCATAGCGGGTGTTTCCATATGCTACAAAAGCTATGGAAACTACAGCCATGGGTAGCTAGCCCATGACCGTCCCATTGGGGTCTGTTCCCTCCTGCCAGCTGTCTCTCCATGCCGTCACAAGGACTTTCCCCTGTCGTCAGCTGATCTTTCTCAGCAGTCACTGGACTTGTCCAGATATTCAGTTTTCAGGAAACACAGGACGAGATGTAATACATCCTTTAAGTGCAAGCGCGTACCAGGAGAGTGTACTTGACCTTGGCAATGTAGTTGTCTTAGTGGAGTTTTCCGGTGGGTATCCTCCCTTGATGGGTGATCCGAGGGACACATCATCAGTAGTACACCTCAACCTTCATTGGATGTTTCGGCCATTATAACTAGACATCCTTGGCTGAGGAAGGCCCTACGGGGGTGATCAAGTCCCCGCAGTGTATCCCCCAATCACCTAATCAAGCTGGAGCCCAGCAAGAGTCTTGTCTCTTTATCCACAGCCACTGGCTGCTTCTCTCAGCTGCCTCAGACATTGCTTTGATGGCCTGGCGCAGACTCTGGCCTCTGATTCCCAGGTCTCCAAGCAGTCTGGTGGTAGACACTGCCACGAACCCCCTGCACCCCACCTCCACTGGACGGACTTCAGTTTTCCAGTGGAACCGGATATATATAATTACACTGTAACAACACTGTAAAAATGCTGAGACAAAGTTGCTGCCTTAAATTAAGTACAATCAAGTTGGATGATTAAGTAATTTCAACCTCAATTACATTAAACTGACTTAAAGGTGCATTGCGCAACATTTCATGTTAAAAATACCCGTTTTTCTAACCCATACATGCTTAAACAATTGCCTGATGGGCTGAATGAGCCCTTCTCTGATCACTGCGATTGCCTCTATAATCCTGTACAGTAAAATAAATAAGAGGGATTCGGGCCGGAACGTCAGACTGGGCGTGACGTCATGCACAACTATATCTTTACCCATCTCTGATAGTTAACAGTGTAAATGACATCACAGGGTGACATTTTATTCAAAAACATGACTTTTTTGTTTGATTTTAAGCTTTAGCCTACTTTTACCACTGTAGTGACCATATCACACAACACTGGCAGATAGGATGATTGCAGTGAAAAAAAGGAGGGGAAACTGATTTTTGGTGAGGATTTGACCTTGTGACCATATTTGTGCTTGTGAGAGTGAGTTCTTGTGTTTGTGCATGACTGCAGGCCCTGAGGCTTAAAATCACAAAGCGCTGTCATTAAGGGTTTGTTGATAAGATCAACCAATGCATGCTGCTTAAGGGGTGCACATTTAGTGCTACTAGAGGATTACAAACAGAAATCATGTTCTGATTTTTATTTGAATGCAGTTCTACAGGGAAAAAAGAAATAGGGACGTAGATGTGTATAAAGTGTTTGTATACAGGTTTGACTATATTTGTGAGGGCCGACATTTTGAAAATGTCCTGCTATGGTCAAAACTTGACATTTGAAATCATCCTACTGATATCAACAGGTTATTGTAAATATGACTTCCATATAATTTTTTTTTTTGCTAATATAATGAAGCCAGTGTGTGCATGTGTTGTTGTGGACATTGATGTGTCAAGAGTTACAGCAAATGTTTATGCCGCTCTTAGCTGAGAATGTCAGTGTCCTGTGTGTTGCATGCTTGTGCGAGCGTGATAGTAAGTGTGTATATGCATTGTGTCTTTGTGTGTGTGTCTGTGAGAACCATGTTGGAGCGCTTTAGCGAAGCAGCGTAGCGTGCAGTACAGGAGTGATGTGGGCTGAGCCGACCTGACCGAGCCCCGGCCCTCCACTAATCCTGCCGTTTTCAGGAGCCCTGGCCCGTACTTGATGAGCTTGGGTAAGAAAAGGGGCATCTCTTTCTCCCGCTCGCTTTTCTCTTTTTCGTTCCCTCTCGTCCTTTCATTCTCTCTCTCTTTTTCTCATGCACCCCCTCTCAAACCCCAGCCCTGCCTGGAGCCAGTGTGCAAATGAATGAGTTCCAAGTGTTTACTCAGCAGTTCTCTCTCTCTCTCTCTTCTCTTTCTTCACATCTCTCTCTCTCTACACTGACAGATATAGCTGAGGTGAACACAAAGCTAAATTTCAAATATCTCTTGCAACATAGAAAAGTTCAATTGGCATAGATTTAGGGTTAGAAGTAGATGAGTTGTTTGACTTATATGAATATACAGTGGCGTCAAAATGTTTGGAACACTTTACTTTAAAAGTAAAAGTACAATTTTCATCGACACTTTCCCTTACTCTATACAGTGAAAAATTGTAATAGATCTAATGGGACCTTTCATCTAATTTTACAGTAAAATACTGTTAAATGTTCTTTTTCACTTCCAAAATCTGTACAAGTCATCTTATAATTTAAAGTAAAAAGCCATAAAAATTGACATCCCTAGAATTCTCTGAGAGACAGCTTGCATTTGATATTTTTTCATTGAAATAACGGTTTCTTAGTGTTTTCATATCAGTTATGTACATTAGGGTTATATCATATCTTTGTTGTTAAATTGATGTTTTTTTTTGCATTATTTTTGTATTGTGTGTTATCATGATGATGTTTTGTTTGCGTGTATTCTTCCTGTGTTTTTAAGGTGGCTGTCAGTATATATAAAGGTAAAAAAATATATATATATTTTAGTCATTTGGTGTATAACAATATTTGTTTTTTATTTCATTTAAACCTGTAAAACTTAAAATATTGCTATCGGATTTTTATGGTAAAGTTTTGGCAAACACGGCTGCCTCTTTTTTTCTTTTCTTTTTTAAACCATACATTTCTTGGATTGATTTGTTTTGTTTTACGGTGTAGGAATGTATGAATATCATTGCACATTTTTTCAACAATAACCTCACAAAAGTGAAGTTAGACAAAATATAAAGGTTTGGAAGGACATGAGGATGTCATTCTTTTCTGGTGAACTATCCTCTTAAGTGTCTAAACATCACAGAAAAGTTTTTCCTGTGCTTTTGCTTGAGGTATAGCATAAAATCCAGAGGAAATGGACACAAGTGTATTTTACTTTAATAGCTATTGAGCCATTAAATCTTAACCGACCATTTAATTCAATATAACCGCCAACAATGCCCTGAGGAAGGAAAATCTTACATTTTTACTGGATATTAACATGTTGTAGACTTGTCATGATATAATGCATTACAAACCAGGTCCAATTTATTCCAGCAGTTTTTGAAGAGTTGTCAGACTATGTATCTCTGGTGTGTGTGTGATAAGAGAATAATATTACGGGGATTACCGTGAGATGGTAGGCCCTGGGGCTGGTGATGAGGGTGCGGGGGAGGAGGGGCTGTTTCCTGGCTGTAGCCCTTGTTTGTCTGCCTGACCTGGCAGCACTAGGGGCAGATCCTGCTTGGATACAACCCTGATCCCACGCCTGTCTGAAGCTGTTAGCCAGCCGCTCTGTTCGGCTAGCTAGGCTTAGCGCGTCTGGGCACAGGGGGCCGCCACATGCTTTGTGCTTGGGCAGGGGTGAATGCTGTTTTGGCTTATGACTCTGGTCTTATTCATCCTACCATTTCTTTCCTATCAGTCAGAGCTGAACACTATCTGTCCAGTTTCTCACTCACATCCCTTTTTTGCTCACCCCAAACACGCATGCGCTTACCGGTTTAAATGATATATCGGCTGTCTATTTAGAAAACTTGCATTGAGCTTAAGTCATAGTGAAAAGGTCTAGGGTAACTTTCTACCTTCTGACCTTCCTGTAGATCCCTTGTGTTGAAAAGCAAAGCCCTGGTAATTCCCTGATATGGTTTAACTATTCATTTACAGCTAAAGAGAATTCTATGTGCACGCTGTTATTGTCTTTCTGTAATTCGATCAGTGAAATCCTGGGCGAGAAGTTGATGTTGAGTGCTATGATGCTGTATTAGCACCTGCCCTTCTACAGTCTCATTCTGGAGAATAAAAATAAACCAGCAGTATTTTCTTAACATTCTGTAAAGTTTTCACAGCTCAATTGCTGTTTTTAAAAGCTTGTTATTATTTTTCAATTGGTGGATTGAGAGGTAGTTTGGGAAGTCTCTTACAGCCTTTCTGTGTGTTGTTTCTGTCCTGGATACACAGTGAACCCATGGGCAAACTATGAGAGCGAGCAAGAGCGAGAGATCAAAGATAGAACTTTCAGTGAGCAGCCTGTTCTTTTATTTGTCCTTTCTTGTACTGTAAAACATTTCAACCTGCTAAAATGAACATCTTAAGATTGATTGCTGCCTTTTAAGAGTCTAAGTGGTGCAAATGTGGCAACCTGCGAGGAAAAGTTCGTTGCACTTTTTGAACAACTTTGAACTTAATAAGAAAGTCTCAACTCAAAAACTGACAAAAATGTAAGTGAATGGATAGAAAGTTGTAAAAATCACACAGTGAGCAAAAATTAGTCAACAAATTGAGTATTCATGATGTTTCAGATCATTGTTCATATGAAAAAAGCCCTCCTCCGTGAAACTGTTGAACTTAGAATATTTTGCAGACATGTATTTATCCTCCACCTCTCCAACCTTTCCTTCCTAATCCTGTCACTCTTAAAACCCCCAAGTCAGTGGAAGCTATTATGTAAACCAATTTGCCTTATCTGATTTCGCACAATGTATATTCCATATAAGGTCACAAGCAGGTACGACTTCCTTTGTGTTTTCCCTTGAAGGACAGAAGAGGAAATTGTTTAGCTCATTTTATTCATTAAGGTAAGAATATCAAAAAGCTATAGGTTAGAAGTTTAATGTTTCAATTTATTTACCTTTTTCCTATTTGTAACTTTTTTTTTTATAACTTTTTGTGAAAAGTTTGTTATATAGTCAGGTTAATCAGGCGACATGTCTTTAAACTACAGGTTCTAAAAATACACAAATTCACCCATCCAAAATGAATTTAACGGTGATCTTCTGACCTTGCATTCTTTGCTAGTGAGGGGAGAACTGTCACCCAATCGATCGTCACGAGCCGGCCGGTGTCGTCACTCTGCCCGCTCTATAAAACTCCCCCCGACTCACTCACCTGGTTAGACAAACACCTCTAATCTAGCTGAGCGCACGCTTATTTTGATAGGATAGCCAATATTTTTACAGCCTGTTTAGTTGGCAAATTGAGGGAATTTAAATTTTTTAAATTCTAATAGTCATAAAAGTTTATAAAAGACAACTTTTATGAATCTTGCAAATTTTTCATATTTCACTGGCATGTGCAACATGACGGCAGAGTCCCAGCACTCGCCAGCCGAGGCGGCCAGTCCAGTGGTGCTGTCTCCCAACGTGAGCCTGGACTCCCCGATACCTCTTCCTTCCCCAGCGCTCAACCACCATGCTCGAACCAAGGACGGTGTTCTCATCAAAGCCGAGCCACGGGTCAGCAGTCCAAACACTGAGAGGGAGGAAGTGGTTTCACTGGGTCAAACCGAAGAACATCTGCCCGCTACTGGCAGCCGGCGGAGGAAAAGGCCAGTGCAGCGAGGTAAACCTCCCTACAGTTACATCGCACTGATCGCAATGGCCATCGCCAATTCACCTGAGAGAAAACTCACCCTCGGCGGCATCTATAAGTTCATCATGGAACGCTTTCCTTTTTACCGCGAGAATTCCAAGAAGTGGCAAAATTCCATACGGCACAACCTCACCCTCAATGACTGTTTTGTGAAGATCCCGCGAGAGCCCGGTAGGCCCGGCAAAGGAAACTACTGGACGCTTGACCCCGCCGCTGAGGACATGTTCGACAACGGGAGTTTCTTGAGACGGAGGAAGCGCTTCAAGCGGACTGATGTAAGCACATATCCTGGATACATGCAAAGCTCGAGCGCTTTCACGCCAACACCGATGGGTAGACAGGCGTACCCCAACACCTTATACCCGGGTGTGACGTCTGGCTACGGGTCTCAGTTGGCTGGTTCCCCGCACCCGGCGATGCTGCATCACTATCAGGCATCGGCCGGGGTCACGCAAGGCCAGCCCAGGATGTTCAGCATCGATAATATTATTAGTCAGCAGACAATGATGCAAAGCGGAGGAGATCTCAACCCGCAGTCTCTCGGCATGGGAGACTTGGGTGCCATGACCTCCAGCTGTTCCGTGTCAAACTCTGACCCGACCTGCTTTCAGACGCAACAGATAAATCCAACGAGCAACATGCTGAGCAGGAACACGGGATCTCTTGCTTCAAACATGACAACCAGTTACACGTATCCCTCCTCGGCTTCGCCTACTCACCTGTCCGGGGTCACGCAGTCCAGCTTCTCTCCGGGAGGTTCACAGGTGTACTGTTCGGGGAACAGGATTTCTCTGCCCCCCGTGCGTTCTGGCTCGTGTGTAGATCATACAGAGTCTCTTTTAGCTCTCTCCGGACCAGCAATGAACTCCTACAATAATTCATATATGAGACAAGCCAATTTTGCCTCAGGACTGGAGCGATACATGTGAAAACTTCTGCACTGCATGACAACGTGTTCCACTGCATGTCAATGGCCCCGAGATTGAGTTCATATTCCTGTTGATTATGTAACAAAAGTTTTGTAGATAACGTGTGACTGAATTAACTAGTTTTTGGTATATGTGTTCAAAGTATTTTGTGTTAAATAAAATGAAGAATTACAGTTCTGGTATTGATATGTTGTCTGAAACATTGTTTGACTATATCAGAAGACAAAACAACGCACAGAACAATGTAAATATTATAAGCAAATAAATGTGTTTTTGTGTAATTTTTCGCTTGTTCTTCATTTAACTAGGCTAACCTAAAAAATACATTAGGTTTATGTTCGATTTTCAATATCCAATATAATAATAATAGTATCCTAATAATAATATTAGTATAGCCTAATAATAATAATTACATCCATATAGTTTGACACGATAATCGAGATATAACACATCAATTTGTAACTCCAATCTTTGTTTAATAGTCCGTATACAATTTAAATAATTTGTTTTGATTTAGGTTATTTAACATTGGTTAAAATGATTCTATTTAAGCAGTATGAATTATTTTTTATACATAAATTAAAATAAACAGTTATTCGGTCAGTGATATATATATAGCCTATAAATATATATATATTCTCAAAAGAGAATTTAGCCTACATTAGCCAATTGTTTTTAACGTTTTGAAGACTCATATTTACGCCTATAAATAGTAGTCTTAAAATATTTGAACACTATATTTAATCTTCCCTCACAAATTGTTTACACAAATTTTGCTGGTGAGGGGGCGACATCGACTGGCTATTGGAATAAATGTCTAATAATTTCTGTAAAACCGAGATTTGGGGCATTTCACATAGAATCCACTAGATGTCAGCCACCACCAAGTTAAGGCCATGGCTGGGTCTCTAATATGAGAACCTTTGTCAAAAAGCATGGTTAATCATGTAGCACGTCGTAGAAAACGTTTGTTCATTATCAAGAGCCTCGGAACACTCCAAAGTCCATTACAAGCAAACTGATATTTCAGTTTACAAATTAATGACAGCATTTTTTTATCCATCATTGCAAAGCCATTATAGCTAGTCTACTTTATTTCCGAGAGCAAAATGAGCCTTTAAAACAATAAAAGCCTGTAAAGAAGTTTCAAGACTGCGCCCCTTATGGTCCACATCGAGTGCAGTGCCATTTAAATGCTATGATTATATATACTTTTAACTTGAATTATTATAATTTCATTGAAACATTTACTTTCGAACCAGTAGTACAACGCCACCCTTTACATGTGGAATGTTTTCTTTTTTCATTTAAATTCAGAACGTTATTTATTTATTTTAATAAATGTCCATGGCATGCTTGGTGGTGTTTTATAGGCTATCTTTTCAAATTGGGACGACAAACAGCAATTTGCCTGAATTCAGCTCTTTTCCACTTGTAACGATACATTTCGTCTTATTCGCATGCGATAGTTCGAGAAATGGGGAGTTAATAGCTATATTGTAATAGTTTCCGGCCTCAGTTAATTAAGAGCGCAATTCTATTGGTTATTGAGAAATTAAGGTCCTCCAACTTTTTGCTGCACAATGTGGATTTAATTTTTGTTTTTGTTTATTTGTTTTATGTCCCACAGTAAGAAATTAAAATTGTTTTGTCTGTTTGTTTTGTTTGGTGCGGAATGCGGAGTTCAAGCGCTATTTAGCTATAGGCTATATAGGCTGTGTAATACAGCGTAGAACCGCAAGGTGGCAGTACTGTGGTTAAAAATGCTACAGATTTACAGCATGCTTTGCAGTCCTTTTATTCCGTGTAAGCCCTCGGCCTCGACACATTAACTGGTGAGCCCACTTAAAAGCGGAAAGGAGGAAAAATAGGAATGGGAAGCCAATTTGTCAGTTTAGGCCGAAAACCGACGGTGATTATCTGGTTCTTTTTCAGAGTGTCGCCTGTGGTTTGCACTTTGACATTTATGTTGTCCAGGGCCCTAAACGTGCACGACATTTCTTTCTTTTCTTTTTCTTTTTTTTTGTCTGAGTAAACGGAAAGGAGTGTCATTAAAGTGAATTCACTAGAGAACTGTAAATCCTTTATCAGAAGATATTAATTGCATTAGCCTAAATAATGCATCAATGCTAAAAAAAAAAGGTAATATTTCTAGAAATTGAGTCCTATAATTCAGAAATCAAATATAGATTTTTTTTATTATTATTATTTTTATGAGAATTGCACGAGTTGCTAACTTGACCTCTGAGTTTGGGCTCCCACAGGCAGCTGTCACACATTGCTCCGGTCCTGCCATCGTCTCCAACAAGCAGTTCATGAACTACAATTTTGAACTAACTTTTTTATTTATTTTTTACCCTTCCTGTTTCCTTTATAACTTCAACACCCTTATATAATTTTTTTTTTACCAGCAATCAACTAAGCTGCGCATGAACATAATTCTCGAAACGCCCAATTATTTAAATCTACTTTAATTAGTTTAATACGTTTAGCCTAAATAAGTAGCCTATACTTATGGGAAACGGAATAGAGAAAATATTTGATTGAAAATATGGTCACAAAGCATGCAGAGCATGAAATCTGGCATATCCTGCTGATTTTAATCGGAGGCACAATTGTCTTGTTTAATAACGAGCATAATAAAAATAATTCGATGCCCGACTCTAATAAAGGTTTTTTATTGGCATTGATGGTTCATAAAGAACATTTAGCATCCACAGGATCCAATGGACAAAAGGTTCTTTATAGTGAAAAAATGTTCTTTAGATTTTTACAAATGATGTTCATACTAAAAAAAAGAAGGTTATTTTAAAAACTGTTGACTGAAGGTTCTTCTATGGCGTCGCTGCAAAACCCCCCTTTTGCAACCTTTATTTTTAAGAGTGCGCGCGCGTTCTATGGCGCATGAAGCTTGTCATTCACCCATAACACCCATAAGCAATGACGAATCCGAGCAGGTTGCAGAGAGTGTGTGCTTTTTACATAGGCTACGTTAGGAGATGTATAGGCTATGATAGCTATGCAAAAATCATAAACGGGGTTGTTTTGAATCCCTGACAGGAAAAAAAGCCCATAAAAGCCCTTAGAAGTGAATAACGGCACTAAAAGGAGAATTCGAACGCAGAGAGATATTATGTAGCCTATAGCCTAAGCGCAAATTTCATTTCACCCTCTTTTTGTGAGCAAATGTTATTATATTTATACACAATTTAAGATATTTTTCATGCCAAATAAATAAATGTTATTATTGAAATAGCCCGTACACCTGCCGAGTAGCTAGAACAACTTATTGATTCGTGCTGGTCTGTTGGTAATAGGCTAATTCATGCAAATGAATAGCCTATACTAGAAACGTTCAAATATCGTGAAATATTGAAATGTGCAATTTACTATATTATGGCATGTAAATGGTAAATTGAGGATTAACTTTGACTAAGTCTCAAAAATATTAAAATAATCTGCCCCTATTCTTGATGTAGCCTACAATTTTGTGAATAATTAGCTATATTGTTGCTTTTAAAATGTATTCTCTGACTCATACAATTTATTGGAACATTTGATTTGTTAAATATTTTTGAAGGATACGATTGAATACTCTTCTACTTTGTATGATGCATATCTCTTGAACAGGCAAAGGAATAAACATCCATAATGCAAGAATATAGCTTTTCTTTCTTTATCTTGTTTATTTACCATATTATTGATTATTGCTGTATTATCGATGTTGCTATCTAGGAAAGCCTAATACAGCATAATAACAAAAAAATACAATGCAAAAATAGGCTAATGGTTAATTTATTAATTTGGTCTTATCGTTATGATGCTGTTTTTTAAACAACAATAGGAAATAAAACATTGTGTAGTAAACAATTAAATTATTTGTATTCTTTTTTCGAATTAAATTAATGTGTTGACAGTTTATTTGTTGTCATCTTTGAAAAATCCTCGGGTTTATTAAAGTTAAATCGTGCGGACTTTTTTATTTTCTCTGCATTCTTTTTTGACATTTGTCGCGAATGTCAGTTACATTTCCCTATAGCACACTTGTTAGGGCAAGTTGATAACACTTCTCCCTTGTGCTGCTTTTCTCGGCTGTAAACTTCCCTAGTTCCTGGTTACCGACATGCTGATCACGTGATTGTGGGGACTGGATAAATAGTTTTTGGAAGCCGCGCGGGGGTAAATGCTACTTGGAGGCTCTTTCACGCACAGCGCTACGATTGTACACGAGAACAAATAGCCTTCTCGAATTATGAAAACTGAAAAGCTAGTTAGTGAATGCATAGTCATAATGCTATTCGTATGATCCAAAAGTTTATATTGCATATGGACCAACTGCACACTCCATGAAGAGAAAATCGAGGTCTGAACCGAGTGTCCTGTTTGACTTGAAAGCGCTCTGAGCTCTGGACAGTTTTTGTGTTATGCAAGTCCGGTGTGATTCTTTCGAGTCTTCTTTCGTTTCTTAAGGTATACGTTTTCTATGCGGCTCCAGGACGTGAAGACAACGTATTCTTGGCTTCTGGAGGACGGGAGTTTTGTCGTTCCAGAACGCACAAGTGACTGAGACGACACACTGCTTGTGCTGGGTGCTGCACGAGACTGGACACGGAACGCGAGAGAGCAAGACAAAAAGACTCTCCAAGGATGACTCTGGGGACGGACATGTCGGACAGTTCTGCTCTGTCCGACGACGTGGACATCGATGTCGTTGGCGGGGATATTGTAAAAGAGGGTAAATATCTTCACCATCATCATACTTTTCACTTGGACAATGACTCCGATGACAATCTATCCCAGAATGCGGGGGAGGGCGCAGTCTCTCCGGGTCAAAGCAGCTTGGACTGTCCGGCTGACCGGGTCGGGCCAGAGGATGACAACAGAACCGGCGCGTTAACTGGGGATAAACCAGGGAAAAATGCGTTGGTGAAACCCCCTTATTCTTACATAGCCCTTATAACCATGGCTATCCTGCAGAGCCCGAAGAAACGTTTGACTCTCAGCGAGATCTGCGAGTTCATCAGCAGCAGGTTCCCGTATTACCGGGAGAAATTCCCCGCGTGGCAAAACTCTATCCGTCACAACTTGTCTCTAAATGACTGCTTTGTCAAAATACCCCGTGAACCCGGTAACCCGGGCAAAGGCAATTACTGGACCCTCGACCCAGAGTCCGCCGACATGTTTGACAATGGGAGTTTTCTGCGCAGAAGGAAGCGCTTCAA